TTGGCCTGCAATGTTTAAAGCCTCGGACTTGTCCTGCACTCAACATGAAGAACTGTGCACATTTGGGTGAGTTCTTCACAACAAACTGAAACAAAATCTTCCCCATCTGCACTGGCCCATTTCAACAGGTGCAGTATTTCCAGCATTAAGAAGCATTATATCTGCCTGCCGTGGGAAGTATTTTGGGGACCCTGTGGAAAAAAGAGAAATAACAGTCCTAATGTGGCACCCCAAATATAGCTGAGTATGTGGGGACTGAGAATGGGATTCTTAAAAACTAAGTATCCAAACCCTGAATCTATATGGATGAAACTGTACATTTAGATTCTCTCATAACGGGCAAAATCCTGCTATATAAATTGAAATGATGTAAACTGGATCTGGTGCAGATAATATTTAATATAAATAACTGCAAACTTCATATCCACGCCCCGCCCTTTAGACTCTGAAGCTTCATGCACCTCCCTTTTGCCCCCAGGAAGACTTTGAGAACCTTGAAAGGGAGGCAATCTCTTTAAAAAATTGCTTTGGAATCACTACTGCTGAGATTGGGACCAGGGATCCAGCAAGGATCCAGCGGTGATCTTTCGCTATTAAAGGCTGCCTCCCCCATTCCAAAGCTCCCAAGATCTTCTCCAAAAGGGCACAAAGAAGGCCTTGGAACCTTAAAGGGGGACTGAATAGGAAGCTTTCAATTAGTTTACATTAAATGTCAACCATACCAGATCCAGTTGGTGTGGTGTAACTTTACGGCAAGAGAATTTTTCCCATTTTAAAAATCTCTAGGCCAGTTCACCATTATTTAATCTTAAGCATACTTATTAGAATGCAGATCTGGCTGACTTCCAACGGAACCTGCTGACAAAAACAGCTAAACTAACAGGTAAGCAGTCTTAAATCTGAGGGATTTCATACCAATTACATCATATCAGTTTGCGCTCATGGATTTACTATTATTTTCCATGGCATGGCATGTTTTGCAATGGTCACAGTAGGCATCATGCCAGAGATAGAGAGGTCCTGAGTTGGCTAGATAGGCGGGATATAAAATAAATAAATAAATAAATAAAGTCAATTCTGACTTATGGTGACCCTCTTTGAAGTTTTCCAGGTAGAGAATACTCAGAAGTGGTTCACCATTCCCTACTTCTGGGGATGCCCTGGGATCCTGCAGCTTGCGCCACACAACACAGGCTGGCTCTACTTACAGGAGGCACAGTGGGGAATTGAACTCCCCACCTCTGGCTCTACAGCCAGATGCCTAACTCACTGAGCTATCCAGTCAGCTGCATAGCATAGAGATCCTAGCCTAACTCACTGAGCTATCCAGTCAGCTGCATAGCATATTACAGAGATCCTATAGGTCACTGTTAATTCATCAAAACAACTGAATGTACCATCCAGGGCCATAAGAAAAAAAGCCTTATAAGAAAGACTGTGAAACGTATTTCCAGAACAGTAACGGATCAAAGAAACAATGGGTGGAAAAATGAAATGAAATGAAATTTCTCCATGAAAAGTTGCACCCCTATGTGCTTCCTGCCCTCACCACGGAGTTCCAAATATGTGTGTAATATCTAGTTTGACCTTCAGATAAAATGGGTTTGTACAAAATTTACCTTTGTTAAAAGTAATACTTTTATTTGTATTGATCATAGAGTTTTAATGTCACCATTAAGATGTCTTGAGCATGTTAGAAAGAGGTGCTATGCAAACATTTTAATACAGTAGTGCCCCGCATAGCGACGTTAATCCGTTCCGGATTAATCATTGCTATGCAGAAACATCGCTAAGCGGAACAGAAAAAGCCATAGGAACGCATTAAACTTCGTTTAATGCGTTCCTATGGCTCCCAAACTCACCGTTCAGCAAAGTTCCTCCATAGCGCCGCCATTTTCGCGCCCTCGGTAAGTGAGGGCAGGGCGCGAAAACACTTGCGGCGGCCATTTTGGGCACCCGGCAGCCATTTTGGAACCGCCGATCAGCTGTTTAAAAAAACATCGCAATGCGAAGATCGGTAAGCGAAACGCTTACCGATCATCGCAGTGCGATGTTTTGCCTATTCAGAACACCGCAATGTGATTGCATTAGCGATCTAAAAAAATAGATCACTATGCGGAATCGTCGTTAAACGGTGCGCTCGTTAAGCGAGGCACCACTGTACAGTGGACCCTCTACTTAAGGAATTAATCCGTATTGGAACGGTGGCTGCAAGTCGAAAAGTCTGTAGGTCGAATCTCCATTGACCTACAATGCACTGAAAACCAATTAATCCCATAACTGGCAGTTTTTATTCTATTTTTGTTCCATTTTGGTTTTTGTCTGGTCTGTAAGTCGATTCTCCGGCTGCAAGTCGAATCTAAATTTTGTGGCCAGAGAAGTCTGTAACTCGAAAAGTCTGTAAGTCGAGCCGTCTGTAAGTCGAGGGTCCACTGTATATATAAGTGAGTAACTGAAGTTCCTCCTTTTCATCTGATTTGGGTAGTATTAAAGAGTGGGAACTGGGAACCAGAGAGTGTCCCATTCAGATTTATGTACAGAGGTTGGAAAACTATTTTTTTTAACTTCATTACCCAGAATCCCCCAATCAGCACAGTTATAGTTGTCATCACCCATTAGGCATGGGGCTTTTGTATTATTATTTTTTTTACTACAACCTCCCCAAAGTCTGCAGGAATTCCCTCAGCCAGAATGTGGGGGCTTTAGCCACAAACCCAAAGTGTTTTGAATTGCTTACAGCTGAGGAATAAAAGCTCTGTCAGATATGATGAATCTTTAAGAACATGGTGGAGGGGTGTGGAATTGGAGGTTGGAGGTAAACTGTTATGTGGGAGCTGTAAGGCATTGGGTATCTGATAGCCTTCCTGTCCATTACATTCTGTACAGGGTGCCTCTACCAGAACCCTAGTACCTTGCAGTTCCCACAGAGCTTAGCTCTGCCCAGGCACTTCTTCTGTCTTCATACTCATTCATCATGTCTAACAGAGCCTTTATTCCTCAGCTGTGAGTGATTCAAAATACCAGAGAGGACTTTGATTTATTTTTAGTTTTATTTGGCTGGGAGAAGTTCTGGAGGTTGTAGGCCAAAAACTATGAAAGTCCCATGCCTCATCACCATGTCCAGTGGCTATGTTTCCTGGGGGATTCTGGGAACCGTAGTCCCAAAAGTAACTTTTTCAAGATCTGTCTCTTGACAGCTGACTTCTTCAGCTTGAAGTCAGGCACCAAAATGAGGGGAACAATCATGACCCTGTTTGGCCAGGATATCTAGCTGCCTGGCTGCACTTGCCTTGCTAGACTACAGGCTCTGCCACATAAACTTCTGTTTGGAAAAGTTACTTTCTTGGACATAATTTCTAGCCTCTTGCGGACAGGTTGGCTTAAGATGTAATTTTTTCAAGCTGTAATTCTGTGTTTACATGCACATGTGCATACGTGCACACAGAGACACAATTAAAACACTCCTGGGTCACAAACTCATGCAGCCTTAGACAGGCTAAACCTATTGGACTCAGGTAGTTTAACTGAGCTTATCTGCATGCTGCACTGTGGCTCTTCCTTGTGAATATCGATCTCCTTTTCCAGTTATGTGTGTCTCATTTTTTTTTCTGGCTTCCATTGAACATTTATGTTCTATTCTGCAATGTCATAAAGCCTCAGATATTTTTGTGATCCTATTGCACATGCAGAAAAGAAGAACCTTTAAGTTAGTCATCCCATCACTGAAAAATAACGTTGCTTATGTTTAAACAAATCTTGTTTAAACAGTTATTTTTTGAAATTAGTATACAAAGAAAGAAGTGAGAAAAATACTACATGTATTTTTCAAATACCTATTCTTATATATTCTTGTGTACACAACAGTATCCTTTGGACTTGAGTGATTGCTTGAGACATTACAGCTGAAACACAGATAAAAGGTTGAGAATTTCATTCTCTAAAAATTAATATAGAAAAATAAGAAGAGGCAGCATCAATATAGTATCATTCTATTTTGTGTTTCATTTGTTGCCATCTCGGGGTGCATCTTGACTGTATTTTCTAAATGGACGTACACAGAGAGATGCTTATCAGCTTAACCAAGGTGGTGTCACCAGTCACATTTTTCACAATTTGTGACCAGTGTTTCATTTTAGCTACCAGTTATTGGATTTGGTGATACAAAATCCTCTTCTTCTTTTTTGAAGGATCTGTCCTCTAATTTATGCTTTGATTTATGCATAAACACCTAGAGGTTTTCAACTGGCAAGTGTATATAAGATATGGCAGAAATAGAAACTGGTCATTTGTCAAATAAAATGTTCCTTTGGAGAATCAGTAGGCAAATTAAATGAAAAAGCATCTCTGATACAGTGCCCATATTATTAGTGTCAAGGTTGTACCTTTTTTATACATCTTAGTGGGGGAGGAGGCTGCCCCTTCAATGGATTTCCAAACTCTAGATCCCAGTGGCATTAACAGTAGAGGATGATGGAAAATAGTAGTTACCACTGTCTTACATGGTAGGAAGAAGAATGTTACCACAATATTGCCCATTCTAATGGAAGGTTACGGGATGTAGTGGCACTGGGGGTTAAACTGCAGAAACCTCTGTGCTGCAAATTGGAAGACCAGCAGTTGTAAAATCAAATCCATGCGACGGTGTTCCCGACGCTTGTCCCAGCTCCTGACAATCTAGCAGGTCGATAGCATGTAAAATGCAAGTAGATAAAAAGATACCACCACGGTGGAAAGGTAACGGCGTTCCATGTCTAGTCGCACTGGCCATATGACCATGGAAGATTGTTTTCGGACAAACCCTGGCTCTATGGCTTGGAAACGGGGATGAGCATTGCCCCCTAGAGTTGGACATTACTGGACTAAATGTCAAGGGGAATCTTTACCTTTACCTTAATAGAAGCTTAAAGCTGAGGTTTTCAAGTTCATCAGGATTAGGTAGAAATGTAAAGTGTGGGTTGAATCCCCTCAACCATCAGGCTAGGAATCAAATTTTTCTGTTAGTTTTATTGCTGAACTAATTTTGCTACTTGCCAAGTTTGGGCAAAAAAAGCGAAAAACTTGCAAGTACAAAATTAGTTCAGCAAGAAGTGTGCTGGATTATATAATCTTTGCCACAGATGTGCATGTATTCTACATTCACAAATGGCATCCCACCCACTCCCCACAGTGTGAAATCAAGATTCCACCTCTCGTTCTGAATCCTGTGAAAGTCAAGTCAACGACAACAACCTCCGAAAGGCCATGCTCTTGTCTTAGAGCTGCCATGGAATCACCCCCTTTCCCCCCATGCCTTTGGGGTAACATCAGAAGCCCAGAACTAAATGAGAAGCATCCACAGTGTGGTTCCTTTACTGCTACACTACTGTGCATCGGCTCAGCGTCCAAAGGATTAGAAGTAGTGTTAGGAACAACTGTAGTCTGTGCTTCTTTCATATTGTGCAGGATTGCTCACACTCGGCTGCAGGGGAAGAGTAGAACTGGAGTGGTTCCCATGCTGCTGGAAGTTATGTGAGCACAGCTCAAGGGTAGCGATCTACTGAAATGTGCATGCAGCCACTTGGGAACTTGACAGTTTTCATTCTCCTGTCAAATGGTGAGGACTTATTTGTCACTTGCCCAGCTTTTGCATCAGACAAAGAGGTAGAGCAAAGTTTTCCTTACCATCTGACAGTAGAACCAACTGGCTAATCCCAAGCAGATGCCTGTATACTGCAATAAGCATTCAGCTATTGGCCTGGGCTGTCTTCATCTGCCTCCATGGCACACGGTTGACCTCACGAGAGAAGACTGACTGGCTGAGTGCTTCCCATGGAACTGGCACTCCAGATTTACACACACGCTTTTGCATCATGGGAGTGCAGAAAATAAGGCCTGGCAGGAAATAAGGCCTGGCAGGAAGACATGCCCTACACAGGATGGGGAAAATCTATATTTATCAAGACAGTAGCTTATTAAATAATTGTACATACATCATAGAAGAGAGGGCCTTTGAATAATGGTTGATAGTGTATTATCTCAGGTGCGGCTAAAAATATTGTAAATAAATAAATAAAATAAATAAATAAGATCCATCAAACGGGTTAACAAGAGTGGAGAGTTCCCAAAAGGCACCCTGCTGAGACAGTTCTTCTCTTCTTCTGTTGCAGGTGTGAGGAATCTTTGGCTCTCCAGGTGCTTTGGCCTACAACAACTATTGCCCCCGCCCAGCATGACCAATATTAAAGCATTGTGGGAATTGTAATCTAAAGCATCTGCATCTCTTCATTCATCATCACCTACTGCACTGAGTGCATCCAAGCACTGCTAAACCCACAGACCTTATGCTGAGCAGAGCACGCTAGGTGTGCAACAGATCTGTAAACTGGTCCTAGCATGGCCAGGGAAATTTTACTTCTTGAGCTCTGCAACCACAGGTCTCTGAAACCACAGGTAACCTGCATATAGAATCCAGGGACAAAGGAGAACTCTAAGTCTGCTCTGTTCTTTTTTCCATCTCTCTGTTTATTTGAGGACTGCAAAGATGAGCTTCTCTGCGCAGAAATTGCACCTCTACAAAATCTGGATCTTAGTATAAGCAGGTTTCATGTTCTTTCAAGAACAGAGGCAGGCAATCTTCCATCCTCCATCTTGAAGAACTACTTCTTTCATCATACCACCAGCCAGGCCTGCAGACTCAAATAAGAATGAGAGTGCATGAACACTCTTACGCCCTGTATTAAACAGAATGGGCAGCTCTGTGTGTAGGTATTCTTTATTTTTCTCTTTTCTGTTCTCACTGAGATAAACAAGGACATTCAAAGGCAGGGTACCTCTGTGGGTGTATTAGAATTCCTGTACTCAACATGTGGGAAAGTAATTTTTCTGGACCATGATTCCCACCATACCTTCACTGACATGCCGACTAGCCGTGCTAGCAGAGGGATTTTGGGAATTCAATACCCGAATACAAAAAGGAAGAGAAAAAAAGAAGCTTTTCTATGACCCAGGAGAAGTTGTTCTACTGGGAAAACAAGTTCCATAAATGATCCTAGTTTGGTTTAAATGTTAATACCAAATACAAGATTTTTGCAGCTGGAAGGAAAAGCAAGGGGTAAATGTATTGATTTACAAAAATTGTACCTGGTTCCTCTTTTAACCTGGTGTAAATCATCCGCATCCACTTGAGTGCCTTCAATTTTGCCAGATTCAGACCTTTCTTCAGAGCTTTGCCTGTGGAAGGAGAAGCTGGAGTAAGAAAAAGAAGCGAAGTTGTGACTTTTTTCAGTCTTCCCCTTCTTGTACTACGCAGAGTTCGGAAGGAAGAAATATAAAAAGGGAATGCAGAAATATGTTATAAGAATGTTATTAGAAAGAATGCTTTTATCAGAAACCTTCACACATTGGCAACTTTGCCATCATTCGGAATGCCTGCACTTTTTGTGCCAAAGGCTTAAACGTTCTATGAAATGAATAGTCCTCCGTGCCTGCCACCATTTTGTATGCAAAGCATGTACCCCAAATGAATCCTCTCCTCCATTCCTCCAATCAAAGGTGACGAGGCTGCCTTGAGAGCAGAGAAAGAAGCCCATTCTTCACATACAAACCTTGGCTGCAATCCCACTCTTACTTGAAGTGACTGTTGAGAGTAAAGGCATTCACTGCTGCAAATGTTCTTTCAAAGGCTCCATTCTTTAGAAACACACACACACACACATGCAAACAGCCAGCAAATTACGGAGGTCCAGGGACATGGTAGGGAGAGGAGGGATAGATGGAAAAATGGAAAGAGTGGAGTAGACATCCCTTCGCTAATTAAAGGAGACTGCCCTTTCCTGGTGATTACTAGCAGTATAATCCTATGTGTGTCTACTCCAGGATAAGGCCCAAAGATTGAACAGAGCTCACTCCCGGATTAAGGGTGGATAAGACTGCAGCAGACTACATCAAGGAAAGAAAAGAGCCATAATGCCCAATCATACATGAGACCATCACATGCCATACTTTGTTTCCCTGCTAGTCTATCACTTTGAAGCACTGAACCTAAAAAATGGCAGGACGTAGTCAGTAGAACCTGTCAAGAACAAGTAATTTGGGCACAGATATTGCAAGAGCAATGTTACTACATAATCTAAATAACCACCAAGCTCCTTGCGGCAGCTACACACATCCTCTCCTTAGTCTGTTCCACCAAGTTCTCCTACCATTGTTTCTACTGGCTTTCAATGCAGTTTTCCACCATCTGAGCGTCTCGCACAAGTAGGAAAGCATGTTTGTGCAAGGGCTGTGTAGCTACATGACAGTGCAGGTGCAGACAGTGGAAAGAGCCCTTCGTTTTTTCTTACATCCTTGTGCAGTTAACAGTGCTATATAACATACACGAAAAGTGTTGGAAATCTACATAATTATTCTCCTGAGTTTGAAACAGAGGTTTCTCCTATCTTTAAACTCCATGAAGGTGCCATAGATTAAATCTGAGACCTTCTGAAGGCGAAGGTGCACTTTAGTGTTAAACGACAGCTTTTCCTTTAAGGTCTTATGCATCTGGATTTTCTTTTGCACAGAGTTCAACGAGACCACTTCTGGTCCCTAAAGACAATAAGAAATTAAATTTATGACTTACCATTTTTTATTTTGACCTGCAGTAGGCGATTTTATTACTACCGGGTCATCCAGTTCTTGGCCTCTGTCAAAAGTAGAGAATATCCTGACATGATGACCCAACATACTATTGTTTTTTTTTTTACTGGAGATTAGGAATAATTTTTTTCAGCAACATTTAAAAAAAACTATCTGATCACACCATCTCTGAATTATGTGAAAGATTATAGTTTTTACGTTTAGGTCAGATCCAAGCTTCAAAAAAAAAGCACCAATTGCTATTAAAAAAAACATAACTCCTTTGCTGAAAATCAAGGCATTTCTGTCTTCTATCCCAGTGACCTGATGTGTTTTCTTATGTGTAAATTCTAGTACTGTATATGCATTAACATTTATGTGCATTAACATTTGTTCCCAGTTGAAAGTACACAATTGCATTCTCAGCCAGCTGTGATCCCAGTTTCAAAGGTGTTAGGCAGCAATATCTCCCAGCACTTCCATCAAAACTTACTTCAAGAAGTGGGATCCAACAGTATAGTCTCCTGACAAAACAATTTCCATCTGAAGAACCAGGAAGGGGATGGTTCTCCCACCCTCCCACCTTCAAAACCAGAAAACACTTATGAACAAATTTTCAAATATCATGGAGGGCTGCAGAGAAAGAGGAGAAAATCTGGTCATGTTAGCAGCTATCTGTTAACGTGGTGTTGGATTAAAGCCAAGCTCAGTGGTTTTGACCTCATGACTATAGAGTTGGGGGGGGTCAGTAGTTCAATTCTCCACTTTCTCTCCTGGGAGAAGAGCCAATCTGTGGAGTCTTGGGCAAGTTGCACATTCTCAGAGCATCACCAAAAGGAGGGAATCATCAACTCCTTCTGAGTACTTTCTACCTAAAAATCAACTGGGAAGAGCTGCCATAAATCAAAATTGACTTTTTACCACATAATTATTATTTTTATCACTCTGCTCATTGCTCGTAATGTTCAGCAGCTGCTAGTTCCAGCTTTTTGTTGTTGTTGTTTAGTCATTAAGTCATGTCCGACTCTTCATGACCCCATGGACCAGAGCACGCTGGAGTTGGGTCAAATTCATGCTGGTAGCTTCGATGACACTGTCCAACCATCTTATCCTCTTCTCCTCTTGCCCTCACATCAGGGTCTTTTCCAGGGAGTCTTCTTTTCTCGTGAAATGGCCAAAGTACTCGAGCCTCAGCTTCAGGATCTGTTCTCTTTGCACTCCAGGAGACTCTCAAGAGTCTCCTCCAGCACCACAATTCAGAACATCAATTCTTCAGCGGTCTGCTTTCTTTATGGTCCAGCTCTCCCTTCCATACATCAATACTGGAAAAACCATAGCTTTGACTATGTGGACCTTTCTCGGCAAAGTGATGTCTCTGCTTTCTACGATGCTGTCTAGGTTTGTCATCGCTTTCCTCCCAAGAAGCAGACGTCTTTTAATTTTGTGGCTGCTGTCACCCTCTGCAGTGATCATGAAGACCACGAAAGTAAAATCTGTCCCTGCCTCCATATCTTCCCCTTCTATTTGCCAGGAGTTGCTGGGACCAGTGGCCATGATCATAGTTCCAGCTACTTCTTCCTTATTTTGAAGAGGCTTGCTATAGGGATATGTTGAAAGCATTGCACCCTCCTGCTTTCGGCCAGCAAACCTTAACGCACAACTGTCATGATGTGAGCACAAGGCTTTCCAGCTCCCCTTCATTTTTTGAGGGAATAAACTACAGACACAGGGTCAGAAATGCATGGAAATGAAGTGAGATGGCTTCACTTGCCGGAGGTCCATGCACCCACAGCTGCACATAGGAAGGGCATGCTGTTAGCTCAAAGAAAGCATAATATCATAATTTTATAAATCAACAAGAGAAATAAAATAAAGAATATTGCCTTTTGTTTTTCTGCACAGTCTTATTCACAGCAATGAGGTTATCTAGGTCTCTGCCTCTGCAAGAAAAACAAGGAAAAGAAACAGGACAAACAGCAGACTAGTTTCTATCATATTTACAGGAAAGGAAAGGCTGGATACTGATACAACCTGGGGCAGAATGACTGATAGATCATAAGGATTTGTCAATTACGAGGAAGTCCAAAATATTTATATATTAAGAAATGAAGAATATTTTCATAAGTTACATGACAGCTGGTAATTCCATCAGAACATTATCCCTCCAAGATTTAAATACATTAAAATTGTCCTGAGAAATTGCTTATCATCCTTTCCTGGCTCAGTTATATATGATCAAAATGAAGCTTTATGAGGAGCTCTAATGGCAGCATACATCTCAGGTCATTTTGGCCTTAGCATGATGGTGCTAAGAAAAATATTCAAAGAACTAGCACCATCATGCAAAGTACTGTGCATAGCCAAGCTCCATACATCAGCTGGGATGCTTTCTAACATTGTAAAAGGAGAGCAGTACATATTTCTGAACAGAAGTACTGTACCTTTGTGCACTGTAGCTCAAGAATAGTTCTTGGCACATGATAGTATAAGGTCCTTTCTCCTTTATGTAACTTCAGACAAATCGAATACTGTATCTATATAGCCACTGTGGCAACTTGAGGTGTCTCAGTATTCTTCACCTCTTGCAGAGTTATCACAAAAAGAAAATGGAATAAACCCCTCTCTATGTTACTTTTAAAAAACGTTTTTTATATATATATATATTTGTCCCATGTGAGCTTATGTTGTATGCATGGCTCTCCTCCTTGCCATTTTATCCAAACAACAGCAATCCAGTGAGGGTTGGAAGTTTGAGAGAGAATTATGAGCCCAAGCTCAGACAGTGAGTTTCATGGCTCAGTGGGGGCTAAGACCTGGACTTCTCAAGTCCCAGTTCGTTTCTCTAGCTGCCCCACTGCAGCAAATGCTATTCTGAAATCTTTCAAGCAAGGACAAGAAACAAACACTGTGGGATAAACAAAATAAATAATGAATCCATTAGATGAAAATACAATATGAAATACACAAACAATTTCCAGTCATGAAACAGTGACAGCCAGCGTGGCAAGACAAAAAGCAAAAGAGTGATGGATAATACTCTCATGGGCCTTTAGGCATTTCTGAAGCAAATGTCAAAGCCAACCAACTGTTGTTGGCCACACGGGCCTAAGAAACAGCTCTGTAACTAAGGGGAAATACCGGCCTTTTTTTGAACCAAACACGTTTACTGCATTTCAAACTTTAGTCTAACGACTGGAAAATTCTGCCAGCAGTCTTCACCAATCTCTTGTGCAAGCGGAAAGCCCTGTTTGAAGCGACAGCTTGCATAACTGCAAGGCAGTGACTGACAGTAGGAAGTGCAGATCATTAAACCCATAGAGCTGATAAACTCTTATAACAGGATTCTAGCCACTGGCCAGAATTCAATTTCTGATTTACACTTGTAAATAAAATGGTATAAATCACAATAGTAAATTCTGATAATTGAACTATTGGTTACATTCCTGTGCATGTACCCGAATGTATGTTTGAACACAACCCCAGGAACACAACAGCCACTCATTAATTAATGTCAATTTGCTGCTGCAACTTTCCATTTCACTTATGGAAGCATAAATTAACAATGGGATTCTGGCAGCAGAATTCAGCATTTGTCTTTCAACTTATTTGTCACACAGAGAGGGGGAAAAGCAAGTAATGACATAAGTGCATCACAAATTTAAATCCCTACTGAGCTCTTTAACTGTTAGAGCTTGTAGTTAAGGAAAATGTAGTTCTATGAAAGAATTAGTAGTAGTCTTAAAAGGAATATTCACATATTTTGTGAGAAGATGGGAGGGTTATGCTGTTTTTAAACTAAATTCAGTCTACAAAAGAGATGTATAACTTGATCAGAAAACTCACCCTTTATCATGCCCATTAGATGCACGGTTGACTTTGATGAGATCATCAAGACCTTGATGTCTTTAGAAATAAAATGAAAACAAATTTGATTGAATTTTTTTAAAAAAATATATACTTTCCCACTATTTTGCTGCATCACTTAAGTGCCATGCCACTTACTAAAATTAATTTAAAAAGGAGGCAGGAGAAATGTAGGACTGAAACATAGCATTTTGTACCTCTCCTCTATGTGTGCATTAAACCTCAGAATTAATGCCCATCTGCAAGCAAATGGAAGCAGGCTGTATCCTAACTGGCTGGCAGCTATTGCAAAAGAGAATACAGGAGGCAAGGAATGAGAGAGGCACATTGTGACCAAATGGACCATAACAGAGTAATCTAATGCCAACATGTGGATGGCAAGATCACAACTACAGGAGCTGCAGGAGCAATTTCCATGTGAATGGAAGGAACCATCTAACGCAAGCCCCACCATTCCAAACAGTTCCAAAGTGACTCAGCCAAGATCACTCCCTACTGCTAATGTAACTGCACCCTCACATTGAAGAATCTGAATATTTACTTATTATAATCCAAACCCCTACTAGGACTGGACTGCCCTGCAAGGCAGTCTGTGACTGATAAGGTAGAAAGCAAAACAACCTATGATGCACAGGTGAACACACACACATCACATTTGTTATTTAATCATTAAGTTGTGTTCGACTCTTCGTGACCCCATGGACCAGAGCACACCAGGCCCTCCTGTCTTCCACTGCCTCCTGGAGTTGGGTCAAATTCATGTTGGTCGCTTTGATCACACTGTCCAACCATCTCGTCCTCTGTCGTCCCCTTCTCCTCTTGCCGTCACACTTTCCCAACATCAGGGTCTTTTCCAGGGACTCATGAGATGGCCAAAGTACCGGAGCCTCAGCTTCAGGATCTGTCCTTCCAGTGAGCACTCAGGGTTGATTTCCTTCAGAATGGATAGCTTTGTTCTCTTTGCAGTCCAGGGGACTCTCAAGAGTCTCCTCCAGCACCACAATTCAAAAACATCAATTCTTTGGTGGTCAGCTTTCTTTATGGTCCAGCTCTAACTTCCATACATCAATACTGGAAAAACTGTAGCTTTGACTATGCGGACCTTTGTCAGCAAGGTGATGTCTCTGCTTTTTAGGATACTGTCTAGGTTTGTCATTGCTTTCCTCCCAAGAAGCAGGGGTCTTTTAATTTTGTGGCTGCTGTCACCATCTGCAGTGATCATGGAGCCCAAGTAAGTAAAATCTGTCACTGCCTCCATATCTTCCCCTTCTATTTGCTAGGAGATGATGGGACCGGTGGCCATGACCTTGGTTTTTTTGATGTTGGTCTTCAAACTATTTTTTGTGCTCTCCTCTTTCACCCTTAGTAAGAGGTTCTTTAATTCCTCCTCACTTTTTTCCACTAGAGTAGTATCATCTGCCTATCTGAGGTTGTTGATATTTCTTCCGGCAATCTTAATTCTGGTTTGGGATTCATCCAGTCCTGCCTTTCACATGATGTATTTTGCTTACAGTGGTGCCTCAACTTACGAACTTAATTGGTTCCAGAAAAAGGGTGTAAGTCAACATGGTCGTAAGTTGAAGCAACATTTCCTATTGAAATGCACAGAGAACAAAGGGACCAGGTCGGAAATGCACAGAAACCAAAGGGACCAGGTTGGAAATGCACAGAAAACAAACAGAGCAGATAGGAAATGCACAGAGAACAAAGGGAGCAGTTCAGAAATGCACAGAGAACAAAGTGGCAGTTCGGAAATGCAAAGAGAACAAAGGAAGAAGCAAGGGCAGCATGCAAGACCCATCAGAAATGGGGGGAACCCCCAAAAAGCAACCAAACCCCTCAAGACCCATCGGAAATGGGGGGAGCCAAAAAAAAAACCCTCCAAAACCAATTGGAAATGGGAAAAAACACTCCAAAAAGCAACCAAACCCCCCAAGACCCATCAGAAATGGGGGGGCAAAAAACACACAAACCCCTGAAGACCCATCATAGTACAGAAACATAACCCCCCTAGCCCAAAACCACGCTGCAAAAACACCCAGAAAAGTGTTAAAGAAGCAGAAAACAGCACCTTAACTTATCAGGCAGCCTTCTCTGATTGCACACTCTCTTACTGCTGGAGCGAAAGAGCTACAAAGAAACAGCCTCGTCACCACCTACAGTTAGAAATTTGAATTTCCCGCCTTTTCCCCCTACCTTTTTCTGTTTGTAACTGGAAGCTCTGGCCGCAAGTCGAAGCAAAATTTTGCAGTCGGAGCTGGTTGTAACTTGAAATGGTCGTAGATCAGGACATTTGTAAGCCGAGGCACAACTGTATAAGTTAAATGAGCAGGAAGACAATATACAGCCTTGTTGTACTCCTTTTCTGATTTTGAACCAATCAGTTGTTCCATATCCAGTTCTAACAGTTGTTTCCTGTCCCACATATGTATTTCTTAGGAGATAGATAAGGTGGTCAGACACACCCATTTCTTTAAGAACTTGCCATAGTTTGCTGTGGTCCACACAGTCAAAGGCTTTTGCATAGTCAATGAAGCAGAAGTAGATATTTTTCTGGAACTCTCTGGCTTTCTCCATAATCCAGCACATGTTAGCAATTTGGTCTCGAGTTCCGCTGCCCCTTCAAAATCCAGCTTGTACTTCTGGGAGTTCTTGGTCCACATACTGCTGAAGCCTGCCTTGGAGGATTTTGAGCATAACCTTGCTAGCATGTGAAATGAGTGAAGCATTCTTTGGCACTGCCCTTCTTTGGGA